CATAGAGCTTCCCAACAACCAGTTCCACCAAGGGCCAAAGTAGCAAAGGCACATTGCATATACCTAGACAAATTTTCCAATTCCTCCTATAAGGAAAGATTGAACAGATTGGCCAAATATGCGCATTCATCTTCCAAGGAATGTGTATAACGGATTTTGGAGGTAAGAGAGCTCGACCTCGCCACCAACGGACGGGCAGGAAGACCTGACATACTCGGTAGCGTCAAAAGCATGTTCAAAAAAGGTTCACACTCTACTAGCCATATTCCCTGCTTTATGAGTCGGAGTTGTACTTCATCCTTCATCCACTTTCCACACAACCAATGACAAATACAGCACAAATAAGAATATTAAAGACAATGAGGCCAAGATTTCCGAAACCTACCAAAGATGTATTTTCTTTCTTCTCGGGAACAAGCCTCAATAAGAAATTAAATGTCTATAAGACGCTGCAAGCATTTCTGATCAGCCCCATCCATAGAGATGCCACCCCCTAAGTAACTTAGGTTGTTAATAAAACTCATTAATCATTTCTTCTAGTACAAATCATTTGTAGTGAGATTCTCTTCCTCCTCGTACACATATATATTATTCCCCATAAGAAAGTGACTTTCAGTCTAGTAGTTGGGAAACAACTTGGAGCGTCTTCCCTTCAATCTGTCCCCAACATTGCAAACTGTAGCATGAGCTTTTAGGCCGATGGGGGTGGCCAGAAATCAATAAGCAAAATATTGTAGTTCAGGAAGAGGCCCAAAGTCACGCACGACCGCCTCCAAAGAAATTAACCCTCATCTCTGTGTCTGAGCCACATGACCATATTGATATTTAAAGAGATGAAAGAAAAGGGTCACATAAGGCTTTCCTTTCAGGTACTAACACTCGAATTGGTAAACCTTCACATACGCCCAACTGGCGGGATGAAGTTGTGAAGGATCTGTCGTCATATGCTTCAGGACTTCTATCTCAAAGGAAATGAATGGTATGCGAAAACCCAGAGCGGAGAAAGACGTTCATAAAAAGGAATAGCACAGTCGTATTCACCGTATATCATGTCATTTTTAGTAGGTCTCAGAACACCCCAATCAAATTATGGGCTAAAATTCAAGAAAGGCGCTATCGAGACTAATGTTCCTAGAAAAAACACAAATTTTTGAAGGGTGATTAGAATCCACCCAAGAAGATAAAACATTCTTCTGGGATTTATGAACACTCTTCTATGATTTTTTTACTCATAATGTACTAACTTTTCAAATGCAGGGAAAAGAGGTACCCAAAGAAGAATATAACCGTTAAACTGAGAAAGTGTCTTAAAGAAAAACAATGTTGACTCTTCAAGAGTTATACTCTAGCATGCAAAAAGGAGTAGACCCTTTCAAACGCGTTAAATCACTCACACATAACACTCAAGTGTTTTAGTTTCCAAGAGTCATAATGACAAAACTTTTGAAGAGGTGTTTGAAGTATAGCGCATTAAATGCATGAATCTCTAGGAAACTGAAACAATCTCTATTGCAGGTTCAAAATAGATAAAGAGTGTGGTCAACACCCAGGGCTAACATGGAAAACCCTCACCTTGCCACACATCGGCAAGGGCTTTGAGGCAATTGTTTTACGTTTACCATATCAACCTCGACCGACCACTAGGAAGAAATTCACTTCTTCTAGAAACTTCTCAACACAAAAAAATCATCCCAAGGGCATGCTCAACTGATCAAAGCCTCAAGTGCTTCCAACGACTCTCTGCAATTCGCCTATAACTAATAACAAGTTAATTATTCCTTCTCTACTATATATAAAGAAGCGCCAAACTCAGATAACAAGTTTCAAACACAATTTAAATTCACTCCTCTTTCTCACGTATTAGCTTGAGGGTTGGAATACCAACCTTGGAAATTAGCCTCATCGCCACCGCGTCGGAAGCATAAAACCACAATTACTTCTGATTCTCACTCCATTTCTGATTCCCACAAAAAAATTATCTTTCGCTTTTCATTAAATATTGTAAAACGATTTCAAACGCAAAAAATTTGATAGGTTAAACAAAAAATCTAGTATGCATTTGTACCAATATTTTAAAAAAATATGATGTAAAATTATAAATTTTGAGAAAATGTGATTTTAACCAGATTTTCCTAATATCTGGTATAAAATCATAAATTTTGTTTTATATTGAATTTTTAAAATAACCGGTATAAAATACAAGGGTGCATTGATTTTTGTTTTGAAAAAATCGGTAGATTTAAAAAATGAAATTAATACTACATACTTCTTTGATAAATCTAATATGTATTATAATTGCTTGCAATTTAAAAAAAAATTAATAAAAAATTATAATTTATTTTTTCTATAATTTTATATCGGATATTTAAAAATTTAGATATAAGAATATATGATTTTATATCTGTTTTTTAAAACATTCGATATAAAACTATTTTTTTGAAAATAAATTATGTTTTATATCGGTTTTTTTTTAAATAGTATAAAATCATAGATTTTATATTGATTTTTTAATAATCTAATTTAATATCATAAGTTTTATACTTTTAAAAAAAAATTGGTATTTACTGTTAAAATATTAATTTAGGGATATTATAATAAAAGGGCTAGTAATATGGGATGTCAAGTTTAACCAAATGGGTGCCAAGTATAATTCTCATGTTTTCCTTGCATCGATTTAAATTGGGCCAAACTAAATCCACTCTTTAGGAAGAATTTATCCTGCCATCCTGCAGTTTAACTTAATACCCTTAAATATTATGACAAATATGTCTTTGTCAAAAATTAATCAATAAAGAACGAACCAAAAAAAAATCTAATAGTGTATTTTAAAAGTTTGGTATGCATTTTTACTGGTTTTAAAAAAAATAAATTTAACACTCTAGATGTTTTGGTAAATCCCATATATTTTATAATTTTTTGATAAATCCAGCAATTCATTTTTGATGAAAAAAAAATCGAAATCAACACTAACGGATTTTTATAAAATGCCAATGTAAAGTCATATTTTTTGAAAAGTCCAATAAAAACTCATAAATTTTTATAAATTTTGATAGTATATTTGAATAATTCAGTAAAAACTCATAGATTTTTTGAAAAAACCAATATAAACTTGTAGATTTTTTTAAAAATTTATAAAAACTCATTTTTTTTCGAAAAATCTAGTAAAAATTTATAAACTTCTTGAAAAATTTGGTAAAAACTCGTAGATTTTTGAATAAATAAGAGACTACATTACTACTTTTAAAATTTAAGAGATCAAAATGGATATCGAAATAAAGTTAACGGACTAGAAAGAGTATTTAGTTTTTATTATAATACTCCTTAATTAATGAAATAAAATAATAATTAAATTTTTTCAAAAAGTCTTAGAGTTATATGGACAATTTTAAAATCTTTGGCACCATATCGACAATTTGGAAATATCTGGCAAAATTAAAAGATTTGTTTTTATTTAACCTGAAATTTAGAAATACATGGTACATCTATATGAGTTTTTACAGACAATTTTAAAATTGATGATAAAAATAAAATTGATGATAAAAATTCATATATGCATATCAGTAATTTTGAAATTTTCAATAAAGATGCAAACAAAATATCAGATATACCATGTCACTTTTTGAAAATTTCACTAAAAACTTTTTATACGCATCAGATATTTCAAATAATTCAATAAAAATCAAGATCATACAAATTTGATCAGTGCATATTTATGCACATTCTCCTACATTTTTACTTAGACATTTCTTTATTTTATTTTGTTTATTATTATATTTTATTATATTTTCTTATTTTATTTTATTTTTGGTTTAATTTAATTTTCGTACTTATTTTTCAGCTTTAGCAGTCTACACGGAAACGATCATAACTGGAGTTCCGAGAATCCGTTTGAGGCGTTCTAAAAATCGTCGGAAAGCTAAGAGAGAGAGCTACGACTTTCGTGTTAGGATCGAAGTCAGATTCGGAGCTCAAAATTCCAGAATTTCGTTTCAAGTTACAGCATTAGAATTTTGTTTTAGTTTTGATCTTATTTTGGGCCTAGGTTATGTTTTTGACTCAGTTGGGTTATGAACTGAATCCATTGTTTTATTTTGAGGGGAAACCTCGTTTACAGTATCCTATTCACTATTCACGAAAATTTTTGTTGGAGCTTTGTATGAATTATGGAGAACTAATTCTTTCGGATTAATCTGCTGTTATCGGTTCCCGCCAACAATTTGAGGTTCTTTTAATTTCCAATAAAATCTATTTCCTTTCAATTCTTCTCTATGATCTTTTGTTTGCTTAATTCGATTTATCTGATTGATTTATTTCGATGATTGCATGTTCTTATACTTTAATCGCGGTTGCTTAATCCGCGTATGTTTCTCGTGTTTGCTTAATTCACGGTTACTATTTTATCTGTTTGCTTAATTCAGAAATTAGGCACGTGTATCGTATAATATCAATTATCAATTGCGCTTGTTGATTGTTATTATAATCGGAAAGGGGATAGAATCCGCTTAGGAATTGGGAATTATTATGATCGATGATAAGTTGGGAAACGAAAACAGTAGATTAGTCGTTTCAACTCATTACTACAATCACTTTTTTTAATCACTTATTTTTCGTTTATTTTATCTTAATCAAAACCCCCCATATTTCATTACTGTATTTGATTATGCCTACAAGAATCTTTGTGAGACTATATTCCGAGTCACTGTCGTTGTACTGCATTTTCCTAAAATTACTCGTTTTTGATCCGCGAGCGACTGCGGATCACATATATTCTGTAATTCTTCATCATTGTAACAAACTCTTTCGTCCTAAAACTTGTAACTTTCTAAAATTGCTTCCGTGAGACAGAAAATCAAATGAATGCAGTGAAATAGATGAAAGCTAGTTATCTATATGTAGTGGCTTTCTCATATGTATAACTATATGACACTGAATTTCTTTTCTCAAGACAAGTTTACATCTTTGTATTGAATCATCAAAACATTACACAACTATATGTTACATCATTCTATTAGCTGCACACCTGCGATAGAAGGTATCTTGTCTCTCAGCTTCTGCGTCAAGGCAACGCGAACTGTCATAACTCCTGCAGCCGGTCCACTTAACCGAACTTTAACAGTATAATCACTTATCTCAATAAGTTCTAATGTTCCTCCTCCCGTGCCAACAAGATACGGTCTAATTTCCGAAAGAATCTGAAAAGATAACCAATATTATAAGACTCAGAACTTGACATGAAAAAGAATGATGTGTAAAGTTTTAATCTACATACACTTTCAACATTTTCTTCAGTTAACTCAAGACCAGTCTCGGTGTCTAGTATTTGCTCGACTTCCATGATTTCCGGAATCTTATCGCGAAGGCGAGTTTCGATCCCCATCTTTAGTGTCATGGTTGAGCTAGGACATGATCCACACGCTCCTTGTAGTTTGAGGATAACAACAAGACCATCTATCTCATGTAAGGCCACATTCCCTCCATCAGCCATCAAGCCAGGCCTTACCTCATCCAAAACCCTCTCCACGTTCTCTTCTGTCAGTGGTAGACCACATCTTGGAGAAACAACAAATCCTGCCACAACAAGAAAACATTGGAATCATTCATGAAGTCTCATTAAGGAACAATGTTACTCAGATGTGAAGCACTCACACATTAACCTATGACGCACATACATATACTTGAAACACGACACTGACACTGGTAATAATTTGCGTCGGTTTCAATTTCGAACACAACTTTTTTCAGAGGTGTAGGCCAAAACTATTGAAAAATGAATTGACAGTAAAGTAGAACCTGCTTTGTTTCTTGGAGCTCGACGAGAGATAAGCCCAAAAACTTGCTTGATATTAATTTGGTGACCTCTGATAAAACAACTCTCATTTGAGGAAAATCTTCTATTACCTGCTATAAGATTCTTCAAGAAAAAAAAATACAAGTGCAAAAATTTAGTGACATAAACAAAAAACTCATATACCCTTTAGAGAGAAAACATAATTTAAACAATCATAGTAACATACAAAATATAAACAAACAGGAACATCAAGGTACCTTAAAGAGACAAAAATGTGTGGACAATCTATGAGATGAATAAAGCATTGTAATTGTTGTTGTTGACTTGAGGCATTGAGTTGTTGGAGTTGAGAGTGCACCCCCCAACATTTGAGTGTGAGTGATAAAAACAGTTCCACAAAACTACCATAAGAATGAGCAACAATTGTGAAACTGAAACTTTTGCTACATAAAATGCTCTCGCAATTGTTTTAGTTTTTGGAAAATGTTTTGGGTTGAAGATGATGATAGAAAGTGGTTTTCCTTGATTGGCTGACATTGATTTTGTTAGATGATAAATAAAAAATAAATAAAATAATAGTTTCTAAATTTTGTGGATAGAACTGAAACAAACACATAGGTTCCAAATGAAATGGGTGGGTTTTGGGCCTCTACTAAAAATCAAATTTGTTTAACCAGTGACTTTCTAATGCAACCCTATATTTTTAATACAACACTTTATATATATGATTAAATTTTATTTCAACTATTCTTTTAGAAAGTGGGATGGAAAAAAATCCGCGTAGGTAATATATATATATATATATATATATATATATATATATATATATATATATATATATATATATATATATATATATATATATATATATATATATATATATATATATATATATATATATATATATATATATATATATATATATATATATATATATATATATATATATATATACGCGTAGGTATGTCAAAATTTATAGATTCGTTCGACAGATATCGAGTATTATATTTACTAAATGGAATCGAAAGTGAGAAACTAATATTTGTATTTATGGATATCCATTGTCATTCCACTTTTCATTTTGGTTCAAAAATTAATTTATGAAACACATAAATAAGTGTTTTTCAAGTACTTATTTATTTTTAATGTATAAATATATGTTTTCGAATTTTAGATGCAAATTCGAAAGTTTGTTTATAAAATTTTATGAGTTAAAAGAAAAAAAATTTATTAATAAAAACATAAGTTTTGCTTAAATTACTATATCACAAAAGTAAAGTTCAACCGAATAAAGTAGATCTTACTATAGAATGTGACCCATATAATATAGTTATATGATCAACATATTCTCTATAAAAACTTTTTAGCTACAAGCTTAGACTTATACTGGCCGACTCAACACATATGATATTCGTATGTGTCTCATATCTGTGTGAGTTTTCGCTAAACGTGTAATTCATGGATTTTAAAGTATTTACGAATATTTAGTGTTAGGAAGATTCTAAAGTCCCACATTGGTTGGAGATAGAGCATTGAAATAGTTTATATAGAGTGACACCCCTCACCTTACTAACCGATTTTGTAGGGTTGTGTTAGGCCAAACTCTAATATTTAGAGATATTCATGGATAACATTTTTTAAAAATTATATTTTTAAAAAAATATTTTCAATTTTTTAGAAACACAGTTATTATCATATAACATATGTTCTCGAACGGCTAAATGCCCAATTGATCAAGACTCAATTCATCTCAAACTCACTTTACTCGACCCAAAATATAAAAACAGTTTGCATGCCATGAAAATTTACGCAATCTTTGACCTTTAATTTCATTTTATTCATCTTGGTTCTTGAGCTGACTTAGGCGTTGGAGTGCTAACCATGCAGACCCACCCTGCTCCATCGTGAATGAGATCAAAGTCATTGTTCCATATCAACAACTATCAAACTCTCACATTTCTGATTCCTTTGAGAATGTAGAACATCCAATTCTGATTCGGAATGGAACAACATCCATATAATTCACTACCAATTTAACAACAAATTTTCATCATATTATTTTTCTTCTTTTTCACAAAAACATGATAAGATCAAAGTATAATATTCATACATTTCATTTATAACTAAAATAAATGAAAGATATTATTGTTGAAATTGTAATTCCTTGTGTCGAAGCAGGTAGTGCTCGACAAAAATAAGGATGTGTCGAAATTAGCCTGGTGTGTGTGTGTCGAAATTTCGAAGCAGGTTACTCGATAGGAATTCAACTTAGGCATATTTTAGTAGTGTTAGCTAAATTGGATATTTTGGACTTTTGTGTTTTAGGCTTTGGCTTACGAAGTAAGCTAACCTAAAATTATAAATAGAGGGAGTAACCCCTATTTTTGTAACAACTTGAATTCACATAATTTTGCAGATGCAAAGTGAATAAGTTTTTCATAGTTTGTGAGTAGAGAGTTACTCTGCAGAAATCAGCATCTTCTTCTATATTTTATCACCCAAATTTTCTTTCTTTTCATTATTATCGTGTATCGATAATAATCTTGTTCATCGAGGTTGATAGAAATTCTCTATAGGTTGTGGTGAATTTCCAACATCTGGTATCAAAAACTCTGATTGTGATTCGTGGAAGCAAAATGCGAGGGCAATGAATCATCCAAACGGGCATTTTTCAGCGATTCTTCCAATTTTCAAGAACAATAATTATGAGAATTGGTGCAAGCGGATGAATATTGTTTTCTGTTATCGAGATCTTTGGGATCTTGTGAAGGAAGAAGTAACACCACTTTGAGAAAACGCGTCAGATCAAGAAAATGTTGCATACAAAGAATTGAAGAAGAAAGATTATAAAGCTCTCTTCATAATTTATTAATGTGTTGATCCAGACAATTTTGAAAAGGTCAGTGATGTAAAATCAACAAAAGAAGAATAGGAAATCTTGGAGAAATCATTTGGAGGCACAGGAAAGGTGAAAGATGTGAGGTTACAAACTCATAAAATGACGTATGAATTGCTTCACATAGAAGAAAGTAAAAACATAACTGACTTTTTCACTAGAGTTACAAAGCTGGTGAATAAAATTAAGGTATATGAATAAGTGTTAACATAAAGATCAGTTGTTGCAAAGATCTTGAGGTCATTGGCTCCAAAGTTTGACCACGTGATAATAGCCATAAAAAGGTCGAAAGTGCTTCATGCAAGTCGAATAGTGATATGGCTTTGCAGGCGCAATCAACAAAAGAAAAGAAAGGAAAAGGAAGTTGGAATGAAAACAAAGACAAAGGAGGCTACAACAATTCAAATGGTCAAAATCAGCAAGAAGGAAACTGGTCGAATCAGAGAAAACCTTGGAACCAAGGCAACCAAAGAGGTGGTGTTGTAGGTAGAGGAAGAGGTGGTGGTTAAAAACCTGACAAAAGTCACATTTAGTGTTGCAATTGTCAGAAGTATGGTCACTATTCTAGTGATTGTCCTGAAAAGCAGAAGAATCAAGAAACTGATGCAAAGCTAGCGAAACATGAAGAAGAAGAGATGTTGTTGAGGGTCACGACAAGAGATGAAGAAAGATTCCAGGACCAATGGTACTTGAACTCGGGATGCTCATCACACATGATTGGTATGAAGGATTGGTTCGTAAACATAAAACCCTCAATGAAGAACATGGTGAAATTTGCAAATGACAATACTTTAGCAGTTGGAAGTATTAGTGATGTTCTAATTATGAGGAAAAATGGCAAGAGGTCAGTAATTTTCAATGTATTGTACATACTAGGCATGAAGAGTAATTTGCTCAGCATATGGCAGTTGGCCGAAAAGAACTACAAGTTGCCGATCAAAGACAAGATGATGAGAGTTATCGACTTATGAGGAAGGTTAATATTGAAGGCTCATATGTCTTAAAATAGAACCTTCAAGATTAAATATAATATGAAGGAGCATTAGTGTCTTGCAACTGCAACTAGCAGAGATGAATGGATATGGCATTATAGGTTTGGTCATCTCAATTTTAAAGACATCAGAGGCTTGAAGAAAAGAAATGTGGTTTCAAGACTACCAGAAATTGACATCCCAAACGAAGTATGTGAAGAATGTGTGCAGGCAAAGCAGCACAAGAACAGCTCCGACAAGGATGCAGGAAACAAGTCAAAGGAAATTCTTGAAGTAATATATTATGATGTATGTGGTCCTATCCATGTGGATTCGATTGGAGGTAACATATACTTTGTCATTTTCGTAGATGATTTTTGTCAGAAACTATGGACTTATCTGATCAAAAATAAAAGTGAAGTGATTGAGGTGTTTGCTAAGTTTAAAGCTACGGTCGAAAGACAAAGTGGTCGAAAGCTCGAGATTCTAAGGACTGATGGTGGTGGAAAGTATATGTCAAAATATTTTGATGCATCATGTGAGAAATAAGGGATTGTGCATGAGGTGGTGCCACCCTACACTCAACAACAGAATGGAACTACATGAAGGAAAAATAGAATCATCATGAATATGGTGAGAAGTATGTTGAAAAGGAAAGCATCTATCCAAAGAATTATGGGGAGAAGTTATGTCGACTGCAGCATACATCTTGAATATATGTTCGAAGAAAAAGTTATAAGGAATTACACCAGAAGATTGTTGATCTGGTGTCAAGACTAGCCTAAGTCATTTGAAGGTGTTTGAATCTATAGCACATAGACATGTGCCAAATCAATTGAGAAGAAAACTTGATGACATGTCAAGTCAAATGATCTTGATAGGATATCATTCAACTGGAGGATACAAGTTGTTCGACCCAGTGAACAAGCAAGTAGTGATTAGCAAGGACGTGATCATAGATGAGCCTAAAGAATGGGGTTGGACTGAAAGTTTGACAAGAAGAAGTCAGAGGTGAAGCAGGCCCAAGCATACCTCAACGAACAAGACACATGCATGCAAGGTTGAAAAAATGTGTGATTATATAAGATGACATGGTTAATGAAGAAGGTGAGTTGGTACATTATGCTTTCTATGCAGATGTCAAACCAGTCAATGCAGTTGAGGCATTGAAAGATTCAAAGTGAAAGAAAGCAATGAATGGGGAACTAGAGTCTATCAAAGTCAACAACACTTGGTCACTTGTCGAACTGCCTCAAGGCAAGAAGGTAATCGATGTGAAGTGGGTATACAAGGTAAATATGAATCCCAAAGGAGAAGTAACTCGACACAAGGCAAGACTTTTGGCGATAGGATTTCTTCAGAAAGAAGGAATCGACTTTAACGAATTTTTGCACATGCTGCTAGGATCAAAATAATCAGGTTGTTTATTGGTCTAGCAAACATGAACAATTGAAACATATGTCAGATAGATGTGAAATATGCATTCCTGAATGGCCGCTTA